CATCCTGCATATTGATTATCCGTTATAACGTAACGTTACATGTTAACTGATAATGACAATCCATATGTATATGATGACAATCGACTGCTTAACTCCTTTCTGCATTTTTTTTTTTTTTTTTTTGCGTGTTTGTGTGCTTGAGTTGAGTTGTTAAATACACGTTGTATTTACAGACGTTAGAGTTAAAATAATTTTATTGGTGCTCAAAGTGATTTACACAGCTTACCTCTCACGTACACGCGTGGCCAGATATCTGATTTAAAAATAAAATACACACGAGGTCATGTGGTTAGAACGTCAGATCGTTTTCCCGGGAAAAACAAACGAACTTTGACCAGCTCTGACGTACAAGCGTACAGTTGGTTTTGGCGTCATCGTTCCGCCATATTGAGTGTGGCACTGTAGTCAGAAAACCTGAACGTGCAGTTAACTGAAAACAAGATTAATATTTCAAGCTCACTTAGAACATAAATATAATAAACCAGTGAATCTCAACCAGTGGGCAAACTTCCAATAATTTTATATAATCTTAATTAAAACGACTTTAAAAACTAAAAGTAAAGATGTAAGACATTAAACTAGCAACGCAAAGGTACAGCTTAGATAGGAGGGTCATCAAATATTGTCTCAGACAAAGGAGGTTGGAGTCAAAAAAAAAAAAAAAAAAAGAAAAGAAAAAGGTTGAGTCCGACTGATGTAATAACCAAATCAAAATAATAAAAAATAAATAGTTATGTTAATGTAAAAGGCGTACAAATAATAGTGCTGCTTTGGAAAAAACATTTAAAGTCACAATAAAATCACAAATAAGAATTTGTTTATTTTAAACTATGCATCCATGCACATCATTATTTTTTTTTATTCATGTGCCCCCCTCCTTCCACTTTCATCTCATCTCTGCTGATGTTTACTGACTTGAGGGCGGGACAACCTGTCAATCACATGACATCAAAGCAATAGTAAACCACAACCACCCTAAAGAACAATCAAGTCCCGCCCTACATTGAAATTGTATGTTTCATTACAACTTTTTGGGTTACTTTATGCAGGAAATGTTTTCATAATCATGAGTTGATATGAAAATATTTTAGTTTGCTCTAAACATATAAGGGAATCATTAGATTAGAAATTATTGCAGCTCATAACCATTATTCTTTCACAAATCAACATAACAGTGAGTAAAAAGAATATGCCTTTATTTAAATTAAGAATTAAAAATAATCACTTTACAGTTGTGTGAAAGGAAAACTAAAGATACATTCACTTATCTAAGCTTATAGAGGCGCACCCTTGAAACTCAGTGCTAAATCTAACAACTCTGAGCCCAGTTTCTCCCGCTCTCCTCCCTGTAGAAACTCAGCAGACAGTTCCCGGAAGGTGCAGCACACTCTGCGCCCGTGAATGTCTTTTCTGTGGATGGCATGTTTCCACCGGTGGCGCGCCTCTCCGTAGAGTACAACTAATGATCTGCGTGGTAAAGGCACAGCCACTCTCACCTCCCCGTGCTCCACGTCTCCCCAGCCTCCATCTAAACTCATCGTGAGGACAGTGTCCGAGAGCAGGTTAATGGTGACCAGGTGCTCTCCCCACAGCCAGCTGTCATCCAAGTGAGGGTCAATAGCAGAGCCTCTCTCGGGATCATAGTCTAGGTTGCACTGCTCTACTGGTTTGAAGGAGGCCAACTGAGGTGCCTTTGACATCCTGTCCACCAGGTGGCGACTGATAGCAGGCAGGCCGGTGAAGTCTCCCACACGGACACGCCGTTTTTTGAAGTTCACCTTTGGCCCAAAGTCCTTTGGATATAAACATACTGTTATTACAATAGTGCTGTTTTACAACTTTTATACATAGTATTTCTGAACTTTTAAAGGGATACTCCGCCGTTTTTTTCATATTAAAACTGTCATTCCCTTAACTAAGACGAGTTGATGCATACCTCTGGCGCACGAGACACTTTGATAGCACTTAACTAGCCCAGTTCATTCAATATTGGCCAAGCAGAGAAGCGACCAAACACCTCCACGTTTTCCCTATTTAAATACAGTTACACGAGTAGAGTAACTCGGCCAAGGACGGTGACACAAAATAAAACGCTACCCCACTTTACATGCTTAGAAAAGCGCAATGTTTTATTTTGTGTCACCGTCCTAGGTCGAGTTACAGTGCTCAAGCAACTGTATTTAAATATGGAAAACGTGGAGGTGTTTGGTCGCTTCAAGACGTAGAACTCGTCTTAGTTAAGTGAATAAAATAGTTTAATATAAAAAATGGTGGAGTATCCCTTTAAGGAGGACCTATTATGTTTTTTTTGTTACATTTTCAACATTCATTAGTGTGTAAGTTTGAAAAAGGACTGTCCATTTACAAAGCAAAGGGAGTTAATCTTTATATTAGGGTCACCGTTTCTGAACTCCCTGAAACGCCTCCCTTGTAGTGTCGAGTTTTCTTTCGGGAACGAACACATCACGATAGAGTGCCGAAGATATGACGTCGCTCTGTAGGCCAAAACGCGGAAGTGAGTTAGCATTTTAGCACTCCCGGTTCCCTCGCTCTAAAGTGTATGGGATTTTTGAATGGGTTTTTGCTAAATCACCTGAAATAAGGTCTGTGGTAAACAAAGAATCTAAATATTTTCACGTTTTGATCTATGACATAGAACACACAGTTATAACCCGCTTATGTTTTTTTTTTTTTTACTTTGTGTCTGCTTGCGTTTTTGATTTTATATAGGCTTCAGAATGTATACATTTTTGGATTACCTTGATAGACAAAACATGTAAGGGTCACAACACTTTGTTGACCACAGATCTTATTTTTTGCGATTTTCCAAAAGTCTATGTGGAAAATGCATAGTTTTCGACCAAGGGAACCCATGCGCCGCTAACTTCCGAGTTGTCCTACAAAGTGATGTCATAACATCGGCACTCTATATTCTTCATGTAAATAATTCCCGCCCAACAAAATGGAGTCGAGGCCTGGTTGATTTGCGTTAGTAATATCGAAACTCATGGTTATGGCGTGACGTTTCTAAAACAACCTCTACAGCAGCTGACCAATAACATCACACTGGTCCAGCCGACCAATCAGAGCACATTGTGCTTTTCAGAAGGAGGGGCTTCAGAGAGACAAGAACTGAATCAGAGGTGCTGCAACAATGTCAGATATGTGAAAAATAATGTGTTTTTAAACATTCAAGCATGCTATCTTATTCTAGTAGACCCTAAAAACAAAATCAAGCCTTTGTAAAAGGGCATTATAGGTCCTTTTTAAAAATGCATCTCACACACCAGCACTGTTGTAATAAACTGTACAAATCCTCAAACTACGGTGACCATTTATGACTTATAGAATTTATACTATTATTAATTTTTCTGTGACAGATTTATGAATGTTTTAACTTTAAAACATACATGTTCTTATATACAATGTTTACTACATAAAGTACGTGCTGCTGTGCTGATGAATAAAAAGTGAAAGGAATTTATTTTATTAGTACACAGTCTCAGTTTCCCCCCCTTATTCACCTGTTTCCGTCGGCCTGACTGAGATTCTCTCCAGACGTCTTGATCCATTCTGGCGATCAGCTCTCTCTCTTCATCTTCTGACACAAAATTCTCCCACAAAAATATTCCAGGAAACGCATAGGACTGTCGAGAGCCACTCCCCTCCTCTCGGACCGCTGTCTTTGACACTGGATCATAGGTGAAATCATGTTGGATCTGCAATAGAATATATATACACACGTTTATTTTCTTTAAAATGTAGTGCTGTTCAAAAGTTTTGGGGCAGTATGCTTTTCTTTTCTTGTTTGGGGGAGGGTTGGGGGGATTAATACTTTTATTCAGCAAGGATACATTCATTTGATAAAAAGTGACAGTTAAGACATTTTTAATGTTACAAAAATTAATTAAATGAGGTTCTTTCGAATTTTCTATTAACCCCAAAGTGAATAAGGTAAAAATACCATACTTCCCCAGTTGATTGATTACATTAAGAATTGCAAAGAAATTGTTGTATTGAAGGTTCTCAAATGTTGTTTAAATATGCAAATAAAGCATTAACGAATTAAATATTAACTAATTTGCATAAACTTCTAGAACACAAATTTGACCATTAAATAAAGCCAGGTTCAAAGCCAATTGTTTCATTTTGTTGACATAGTCAAAGGGAATAAAAATTTTATTTTGAATGTTTTCTTTCCACTCGTCTAAAATAACACTTTATGAAAAGCCAAACAACCCACGAAAAAACAGATGCATGAAACAAACTGTGTTATAGCATGTAGTGTATGAAAAAATGCATCATGGTTTTGACAAAAATATTAAACTGTTTTCAACATAGATTAATAAGAAATGTTTCTAGAGCACCAAATTAGAATGATTTCTAAAGGAACATGTGATGTTGACTGAAGACTGGAGTAATGATGCTGAAAATTCAGCTTTACATTTTAAAATTTTAATTTTTAATAATATTTTTCATCCAAACAAATTCAGGTTTGGCAAGCATAAGAGACTTTTGCTCAAAATAACAAAACAAAATTGTTAAAAGTTTTATAAAGGTTAGTAGCACAATTTTGAGAGTCGGGTCAGAACAAACGTCAAACTGAATTTTATTAAATGGATGACAGTTCAACCCGTTCAACTCAATGCTGCCGACTGTGACTGAATGCAACTTCGGCTTATTTGTGCGCAAATAAGGATGTCAAGACAATCGCTTTTGAACGTAATGTTGTTGACTCACCAGATCATTCTTCTGCAGTAAATGTTGTTCAGACTTCTGTGCCTCACACCTGAGACATGTTCTTATTCCTTTACAACCACAGTTAAAACTCGGAATATATCCGTCAGCCATTCAAACAACGTGTGTGCATCACTTTAATGTGTCCCATCAAAAACAACTGAAGGCCTATCAGTTCCTATCTCGAAAAGCCACACATGTACCACAAACGCATGACACCGCAACAATATTAAGACTCTCGGATAAATCATCATTTAAAAAACACAATTTATTAATAATAAAAAATAAAGTACACTACATAACAAATAAGTGTGTCGCTGAAGAGAAAATGATTTCCTTGTACATAAAGTTGATGTGCAAGGAAACATTTTCATTTTCAAGGTTCCAGATTTGATTTACAATACCAGCATGCTTTGTTAGAAAAACAATATTGGAACAGGAACTCCAAAGATCTTAAACTCAATGCTGTTAAAGATCTTATCTTATTTCTCCTGAGAGCTTGTCAGCTGTCATGTTTAAATTAGGGCTGTGAAGCAATTAATCACGATTGATCGCATCCAAAATAAAGGTTTGTGTTAAAGTGTACGTGTACTGTGTATGATTATTTTTTATATTAAAATACACACACGTTCATGAATGAAATATTTGCACATTTTTCTTAAATCTATACATGCATGTGTGTGTATTTATATACAAAATAATTATACACAGTGCACACACATATTTTATGTAAACACAAATGTTTTATTTTGGATGCGATTAATCACGATTAATCGTTTCACAGCCTGAATTTTTTTTTTTTTTTTTACAAAAATACTAATGTAGCAGTTCAGTTGGTTGAGAATAAGTTGTTGTCATCCAGCGGAGTGTGATGTTTCTTCATTCTATTCCCTCCTGCTTGTCTTTGATGGCAACCTAAAATTAAAAAAGGTCAATTATTAAACAAGACTGATGAGCAGAACTGTGACATCAAATCACACCAGCCCTCACTGGCCTCCCAACTGAACCTGGATTCTTCTCACGGTTTGTGAGGTAATGGAAACTGTTTGTTTTTTTTTGGTCCATTTCAATCACTTGATGGAGTTTAGGTTCCCTTCCACTGTCACTTTTGGCATGCTTAGTTTGGGACACTTAAAGAGCCCTTTTACATTGTCTTGATTTTGTTTTTTTGGGTTTACTATCGATTCTGATTCTTATTAATTCCCAGTTTCGATTCCAATATGGTACAAATAAAATAAAAACTCTAGTCAAACATTTAGATATCACACATTAATTCTGTCTTTTTGCAAAACGATCTGTAGCAACTGAGCAACAAGAACAAAAATCAGCAGCCTAAGACAAACTAAGGCTATGTTTACACAGAAACTATCTGAAGAGAAAACGCAAAAGTGGCGTTGCGTTATCACTTTATGTTCTGTGTTTACACGAGCGTTATGGGTGGGAAATCGGCATGCATATGGTGACGCAAAAGTGTGAAATTTGATGTAGTATGCACTCCAGGCGGCAATATGAAGCACTGCCACACAACAACACCAAGTCCGTGCACCTGCGTATAACCCTAATGCGTGATTACAACCCCTTCACACACAGGCAATAAAAAAGGATTCATTTTAGAAGAAAAGTTACACTTAGTACCTTTAAAGCTGTTTTGAAACGATCTGTTATGCTATGCAAACGACACATACCCTGAATCGCTCCTCTAGCAGGGACAGCTCACTGATCAGATCAGTGATGGCATTAGTGAAGGCTTCCTGGGGACTGTAGTCTGGTGTCGTCTGAACGCGGATCACAATCTTGTGTTCTAGAGGATGAGGAACCTTATACCCAGCAAACAGCACCTGAGGGTCCTTCAGCAGTTGCCTTATGGAAACATGTCACAGGTTGATTACACAAACCAGCAGAGTGTCCCAGTAATGACTCAAATATGCATGGCCATCAGAGACTTACGAGCGGATGATGTTCCCCAGTGTGTGATCCTCTTTATTCAGTGTGAACAGACATGCATTCGGCACCTTGGTGTCTTTAATTATTGTGATCCTGGAAAAGGAAGTCGAGCAGGAATATTAAATTGCTTCTATAATCTTTCTTTCTCATGTACAAACAGTACTGTGGTAGTTTACCATGGTAAATTTATGGTATTAATTGTGACACTTTGCCAAATACTATATTACTGGGCAATAATTACCATATACATGTAACTTACATTATTCTAAAGAATATCCAAAAACGTTATCGTATACGTGTACATAAATACATACTTTATAGATAAACTTACTACCTGTCGTTCAGTAATGGCTCAGAGTAAAAAATATTTACTTTTTTATTTTGTTATTTTAGAAAATGTCACTACGTTAAGAAGGTTTTACAATCAATGAACACTGTTTTTCCAGTTTATATTTTATATAGATTTCAAATATAAAATTGCACCCTAAAAGTGGCACATGTCCACTTAAAATTGCAATATAGTTTGTTTTATTATTATTTTACAGATGGACCTCACTATCTCCAGTTAGCCAACAAGCTAAACGCTTTGCAAGCTATATTCTGTATTCCAGCAGACTGTTTGTTTCGTTACATGCAGCTACTCATTAGTATCACTAAATAGTAAAGATTGTGATGCACTGCACTTACTTCTTTTCTCCCTCGAATAGCAAAAAGGACTCGAATGCTGGTGGCGCGTTCATCCTGTTTGAAAGCCAGCAGCGACCCTCCTGCTAATGGACGCACACTGCACTGCGCATGCGCACTACGCCAGTTTCACACGCGACCAATCGTAAGCGCAGTGTTGGGTGAAGACCGCTGGAGGGCAGTGATGAGCCGTAGATAAATCACTGATGAAAAGTATTCTTACGCTCAATAAAGGCTATATTTTTTAAACACAATAATAAAGATGGCAAACTTATTTTTATAGTACATTTCTTAAAATATTAGTATTTTAGGGATGTTATGGTACCAAAATTCACGGTTAAAATACCATTAAAATGTCACGTTCTCGGTACCTATTTCTGTACCACAGCAAAATTCGTTATTTTTTTAAATATTATATTTCATTTAACTACTTGAAAAAATATATGAAATTAAATTCAATCACTTTATTATTTATGATGGTGCATTTATGAAAGCATTGAAGGCTGCATGCTGTTTAAATAAAAATATTGATGATGCTGAGAAATATTGCTTATAATAAAAATCAACTGAAAAACACAGCATTCAGTAGATTTAGGCTACAGTTGTATTTTTAATAAATGAAGACGTAGCTAAATATATTGTACAGTAGCCTAATATAATTATTTCTGTCAATTTCTTAGTCAATTTCGTAGTTAAATATATTGTACAGTAGCCTAATATAATTATTTCTGTCAATTTCTTTAAGTTAAACCAAACTTTTATTTTGACGAGTTGCCGTAAAGACCTTTGACTATGGATATGACGAAGTGACTCTCGGAGTTTTTTTTTTTTTTTAATTAAAAGTAAAGAGCATTACAATCAAAGTAGCAAAAAATAAAATAAATAATAAAAAGTATCGAACAATAATCAACAGTACAGTTAAAGTAATAAAACAAAAACCAAAAAAACAAAACAAAACACATTTAATCACATAAAAACATTAAAAGTAGAACAAATAACCACAGTTGTAACAGCTTTTTTGTTTTGCATAGAAGAAATAGTAGAAATATATTGTTCCATTTCAGCTTTTAGCACAGAAAAAAAGAGTTTTTTTTTATTACTGAATTTACACTTATGGATATGGAATTTGGCAACGAATAAGATTAGGTTTACTAGAAAGAGTGCACTACTGTCCTTCCCACAGCCATTAAAACAACCAAAAATTACATTTTTGTAGTACAGGGAGAACTCAGGAAGAATATTTTCAACTATAAAAGAATTTAAGTCTTTCCAGAGCTTATATGTGAATTCACAAGACCAAAATAAATGTGAGATAGTTTCAGGATGTAAGCCACAAAAAGAGCATTTTATATCAATGTCATTCTTAAACTTATTTAAGCAAACATTTGTGGGGTAAAACCTGTGTAGTAACTTGAATGAAACTTCTTTAATTTTGTTAGTTAAGAGAAGCTTCTGGGGTAGGGACCAGACTTTTCCCCAGTCTAAGTTAAGGTCAAACTTATTCCAATAGAAGGATGCAGAAGAAGAGACTATAGGTCCGCCTGAAACAGGGATCTAATTTTGGAATTTGAAGCTTTATAGGTAGAAAAACAGACTTTACCTAACGGAATCTGCGTTGGATCTGGAGGTGACACTGATAAAGGCGGAGAGATATCACAAGACCTAAATAACATATGAAGACCCGAGGGCACAGCATCAAAAACTATTGAAAATTCTCTTGGGCTTACTGGAATCTTATATTTGGCAAAAAATTCTGAATAACTGAATAGTAGACTCTCGGAGTTGGAATCATGAATCATGTCATCATATCGTGAGGCAGCAGAGACTGAAAACAGCGCGAGCGTCACTCTTGCTTCAGTGTGTGTGTGTGTGTGTGTGTGTATGGCAAAGCCGTGTTAGCTTAAATTGTACCCAGCCTTACTTGTCGTAATTGCATTTTTACTAGTAACAATTCGCGGAGAGCTCTACAATTCAATTCTTACTAGTAAGAATTACAATTGAGCTCTAGCCTATAATTTAATTATTACTAGAAAGAATTACAATCAGAGAGCTCTCTAATTCAATTATTACTAGAATTACAATTACAGAGCTCTCTAATTCAATTATTACTAGTAACAATTAAAGAGCTCTACTACAAATTAATTTTTACTAGTCATATGTCTCCATTGACTTCCACCTCTGGACCACTCACACTCAGCGTATCCGGCAACCATTCTGAAACCATCTCCTTCTATATTTTGGACTCCCCCCTCGCACCCATTGTCTTAGGTCATCCCTGGCTCATCAAACACAACCCCAAAATAGACTGGCAGCTGAGATCAGTGTCTGAATGGAGCAGTAAATGTCATGAGTCATGTCTTGTGTCTGCTTGTCCGTCTGTTTCTGTTTGTACGTTTCAGGAGGAAGCAGTGGACTTGTCAAACGTGCCCACGGAGTACCGGGACCTGAAGGAGGTGTTCAGTAAGTCTCGTGCTGCTAACATTCGTTAACCACATCTTTCGATTACCTGGCCTCCCGACAGACGTGGTTTCCGACAGAGGTCCCCAATTTGTGTCCAAATTTTGGCAAGATTTTTGTAGATTACTGGGGGCGACTGTTAGTCTGTCCTCAGGGTTTCATCCCCAGAGCAATGGCCAAACTGAGAGTGCCAACCAGGATCTGGAGAGAACGTTGTGATCTATGGTTTCCAAGAATCCTTCCTCATGGAGCCAACAACTGTCAATGGTGGAGTACGCCCACAATTCATTACCAGTATCATCCAGGGGCCTATCTCCGTTTGAGTGTAGCATAGGGTACCAGCCACCAATTTTTCCCAGTCTGGAACCCAAAGTCGCGGTTCCCTCCGTTCACGCCTTTGTCCCGAGGTGTAGAGCCCGGGAGACTCTACTCCAAGTGGGAGCACGCACCAAGGCCAAAGCCGATCGCCACCGGCGGAGGCCTCCCGTATACGTTGTCGGTTCCAAAGTGTGGCTTTCTACCAAGAACATTCCTCTCCGTTCCGTTTCGAATAAACTTGCTCCCAAATTCATTGGCCCGTTTTCTGTCACCAAAATCATTAGTCCAGTGGCAGTCCGCCTCAACCTTCCTCCAGTGTACAGGAGAATTCATCCCGTTTTTCATGTATCCAAAAGTCCCGGTTCCCCCACCGCCGCGACTCGTAGATGGGGATACCACATATTCGGTTCATCGTATTCTGGACTCGAGGCGGAGGGGACGCGGGTTCCAGTACTTGGTGGACTGGGAAGGTTACGGTCCAGAGGAGAGAAGTTGGGTTCCTGCTAGAGACATTCTGGATCACTCCCTTATTGATGATTACAATCGACAGGTAAGGGAGTCTGGGAGAGTGGGTACTGTCACGATTCATGAATTCACTGTTTCCTTCATGTCTCGTGTTATTGTTGTTCTGTGAGCATGAGTGCGTGTGAGTGGGCGTTACCGCTCGTTCAGCTGATCAGCACACCGGCTGATCTCATCATCAGCGCCAGCTGCTGCCAATTCACCTCACTATAAAGACTCATCACAATCTCCTCTCTTTGTCAGATCGTTGGTTTGGTGTCCTCTGTGTCGTGCTTTGTGTTCCTGTTGCAGTCTGTTCCAGTTTGAGTTCCTGTTCGGTGTCTTCGTGTCCTGTCTCGTCTGGATGTTCACCTGCACTGGATTATCGTCACCCGCACTGGATTCACCATCACCTGCACGCTGACCACTGAGTCCCTGCGCCACCATCTGCTGTGTTATTCCTTGAGATTGTCTTTGTGTCTTCTGACCTTAATAAATTGAGTTAACTTGCAATTGCTTCCGTCCTGTTCTTGTGACAATCTGTTTCTGATGCAGAAAAGTTAGTTCATGCATTCATGACCTCGAGACTAGATAACTGTAATGCTTTTTATTAGCCGGTTGTCCTGCATCCTCAATAAACAAGCTACAGTTAGTACAAAATGCAGCTGCTAGAGTTCTTACTAGGTCAGTCGTTACCTATTAAGTTCCGTGTCAAATACAAAGTACGTCTACTGACCTATAAAGCCCTAAATGGTTTAGCTCCTATGTACTTAACGGACCTTCTTTCACCCTACAATCCACCGCGTTCCTTAAGATCACTAAATTCAAGGCTTCTGGTCATTCCTAGGATATCTAAGTCCACTAAAGGAGGGAGGGCGTTCTCACATTTAGCTCCAAAACTCTGGAATAGCCTTCCCGATACGGTCCGAGGCTCTGACTCGCTGACACAGTTTAAAACTAGACTAAAGACGCATCTCTTTAGTCAAGCATTCACATAATGCTTACCTTTTATTCCGCTGTTATGCCATACGGAACCGTTTGCCACTGAAACTGCTTAACGCACCAGTGTCATTAAAAATCAAGATTTTTAATTTGAACTTCTAAAAACAAAATGTTCAACAATTAAAAATAATATTTTAAGGACATATGTTCATGAGTTGTTGTAATTTTTGGGGGTGGGGTAAACGTAAAAAATACAGCTGCCAGTAAGTTACTGTAAAATTTACAGCAATCCCTTCACAGCATCCGTGGATTTTGTATATTCAATATAAAATGAGCTAGATGAAAATCAAAGTGTAGCATACCACATTTAATAAACACTACAATAAGGTCTCATTTGTTAAAATGATTTAATGCATTAGCTAGAATGCAATAATATATTATAGTATTAATATATTATTACTATACAAGTAATAATGATCAATTTATATATATATATATATATATATATAGATTGTAAACAGCAGCCTTGTGGGCAGCGCTCCAACATGTAATACGGTAGTGCTTTTTATTTATTTATTTATTTTTTAAATAATCTGAGGTTGAAAAGTATAAACCATTGATTGACAAAAATTTCCAGGCCTGCTCTCTAAATAAATACAAAAATAAATAAATAATATAGTTTATATATATTTATATATATATATATACACACTGTATATTTTTTAAATGTCAGAAAATGCTTTCTGAAAAGACCTTTCTGTTTAAAAAAAAAACAATTACTTGTTCAAAAAAACAATTACTTTTTCAAAAATATAATAATATTTGTATATATATATATATATATATATATATATATATATTAAATGTATATATTAAATATAAAAATGTATTCCTTTTATTTTTTATATATCTGTAAATGGTGCAACTGCATTTTCTTTGGTTGTATTTAACTGTACATAATTTAATCTCCTGCCACTGACTGCAGGAATTCTAAAGCCACTATGACATCATAAATAGAATTGTTAGGAATGCTTCTTTTATACATTCTAACAGCAGGTGAAAGTACTGAGGGCTTATTTTGCTGCTAACAATCTCAGTTGAACACATTTGACATACGAGAGCAGTTTTTGAGACTATGTACTCCTTTTCAATGAATTCCTGTGACTGGTCCCAGTCTTCTTACATTCCACCACCTCAAATAGGCCTGAATTCTGGTAAGGGAACATGCTTAACAACAGTTAAAGTGGTTGATTTAAAACAAACAAATTATCGAGCATAACCTTTAAACCAGCTATTTTTGACGATTTTTTTAAAATGCAATACATTTTACATGAATTATGATCATAATGATATTTTTTAATACTATTTCTTTATACAACATCAGCTAAATCTGATTTAAATATTTTTGCTTGTTACATTAAATTACATTGTGTCATTTTTAAGGACCCCCGATGGCCCAAAATGACTTGACGACACCTCCATATCCACCTCCTCCTTACCCACTGCAGGATTGCAGAGATGAGGTGGAATCTGTCGCCCTTCCAAGATCTGATGCAATTGAGACCCATTGTGGTGTTATCAGACCCGAAAGTAATTTCCCATAACATTAATATCAAACCATTGTTGCAGTTTGTCAGTACAGAGGTGATAGAGATATTTATATGTTTATTTTTTTTATGTTTAGATTTGATCTGGGATCCTTCAAATCTTAAGGAGCTTGGTCCATTGAAACTTGTGGGTGTTTACAACCTTCCACCAGCCTTCTGGCCTGCCGTCACAGAGCAGGGAGAGGACAAGCGCGAGCTGTCTCTCAGCGCTGGCGTCACGGAAGCTGCAGCCACTGATTCTGAGGAACTTCTGCCTTATTTCACAGGCTCAAGAAAGAGAAAGAGGGCTATTTACTCTGGCAATGAGTTCTCTCCTGCTGCTGTCGAACATTTTGAGATGCATGATGATTTTGAGCTCTCTGAGCCTCCACATTCAAAGCCTCGCTTGGACTCTTGTGTTGAAGATGTTCTCTCTCTTTGTCATGGCAGTGATGTGGATGGGACAAACAGAGCTGATGACAGCATCAACATAAAGAATCCCTCCTCCTTCGTGCCATATGATACGACGGACCTTTTGGAGGATTTTGATTTCTTGACACCTTCCCATCAAGCAAATGAGATCATTTCAGGCCTCTCTGTAGATGAATACTATGGACAGACAGAGATTGCTGCCGTCACAGAGCAGGGAGAGGACAAGCACGAGCTGTCTGCAGCCACTGATTCTGAGGAACTTGAACTTCTCTCTTATTTCACAGGCTCAAGAAAGAGAAAGAGGGCTATTTACTCTGGCAATGAGTTCTCTCCTGCTGCTGCCGAACGTTTGGAGATGCATGAGGATTTTGAGCTCTCTGACCTTCACCTGGACTCTTTTGAGAGTATTGAAGATCTTTATCATTACATCTTCTCCGACGAAAGCACTGCTTTTTACGATTAAAGCGATGTAACTGGTTTCTGTGGTTTCTGTAACTCCAAAAAGGTTAGTATATTATTTCTATTTTATGTAAAACAAACATTTGCAAATGTTTTCATTTATGTTAACAGCAAACTAAACTGATTTGTCTTTTTGTTTTCGTCTGAATGGTTTAGTTGGCTTTTTTCCCCCTGACAGTCGGACTCGGCCGGATCTCCGTCACGCTGATAATATTAACTGGTAAGTTCTAGTATAAGCTAAGCTCACCAATATTATCCAAAATATTCTTTAGTTAAAACAATAACAATTACGTTTGTGTGTATCTCTGCCTCTTTAACGAAAGCTCGCCAGGCCAGGCGGAGTCGTCGGTTAGGCTATACATCAACTTAACCGCAACGAACTAATGTGTCGTGAAATACTGAGATAAAGTGCAATAGACGAAACCCTTGTTTAAGTGAGGTTTTTAAACAAGATTTTCAAGTATATGCTTGGATTTATTTTCAGGTTTGTGATCTGTATAATGTCTGCAGTCTGCAACGATGGAGGTGTGTGTTGGAGCCTTTTCATTGCCGTCATAACATCAACTGGTAGGTTGACTTCACCTAACTTAAATAAGCCGAAGTAAACTTATTAAACAGAGAAAAATAATAACATATGTATTTCCCTTCCCCTATGTATCACAACTTAGCTAGTTAGGCAGACATAGCAACGTTAACAGTGAGCTAACGTGATAAAATAAGTTAAGGAATAGTGCACCTCAAAAAGAAAGTTCTTTCTTCTGAACACAAAAGAAGATATTTTGAATAATGTTGATAATGGAACAGTTTGCTGATCCCCATTGACTTCTATACTAATAATAAAAAATACTATGGATATCTTGTTTGGTTACTCATGTTTTTTTAAAATATCTTCTTTTGTATAAAGCACAATAAATACATTAATACAGGTTATGAACAAGTTGAGGCTGAGTAAATGGTGACATAATTGTATTTTTTATAAGTAAACTTTAAGCGACACCATTGTTAATTACATCTTTTGTTTTACTTTTAAGTTTGTGGCCTGAATCATGTCTGCAATGTCGGAGGTGTGTTTTGGAGTCTTTTCTTGTGAGAGGCATCGTAATGGTGATGACATCTACAGGTGAGTAAGATAACATCAACTAAATTAGCTGAAGTATGCGTTAGTTTAACAGGCAAACATAATATAATGTAACTGTTGATGAAACGAACGGAAGGGGAGAAAACAGGTTTACCAGGTAGCAGAGTTAAAGTACTTTTAAATAATCATCCATCAGTTTCTGTTCTTTATTTTGAATTTGCAGAAGCCATTCCTTCCGGACTGTACATCACTGCTGACGCTCTCCACTGATACACAGAACAGGTTGACGTTTGAGGAGGAGGAGGAAAGGGTTAGCTATATACCATTATCAATATAGCAAAATCTTTTGCTAACTAATATTTTAAACGCTGTTTAATTTATTTAAAAACTATAAACACCATACAACATCATATCTTACATCATCTTTACTCTTCCTGCTGTTGTTGTTTGTTATAAGTTCTGTTATTGGATTTTATTTCTGTGAGCTACAATAACACTAAAAGGCTGCTGTGTCTGTTTCAGGAGAGTCTGTTCTCGAAGCAAAAACATGGATGCTGACTATGAAGAATCATCATCCAACGACAACAGCTAAAATACTCTTCCTCAGCATTAACTGTCCATTTTGTCAAATGCAGAATTAGGTAACCCAATATATATATTTTGTACATTTACATTCGTGCATTTGGCAGTCACCTTTATCCGAAGCAACTTACATTTAATTTAAGTTTAAAGGAACTTGAAATGGGTTTTTTTTCACTGTCTCCCCTATATTTAGATAAGTGGGCAAACGTATTTTTGTCTCAGTGCATGCATTGACTTAACATTTAAATCACTCGCACCACACGTTCTCGTTTGGTGTGAATGCACCATAAGACAATGTAAAGATGCAATTACGGACCTCTAGAGGTCAATCAACATCAGCCATCTTGCAAATAGACAACCGTATAGCACTTGCCCTTCCCACAAGAAGCGGATTTCGCCTCGGACGTGCGTCAATTTCGCTTCAAACACTTGCTTTTTACGCGTGTCAATTTAGCTTTGGACACGTGAATGGATTCAAAATGTTCAAGTGTCCAATTAGACAAGAACAATTAGACAAGAGGTAGACAAGAATTTTGCACTCTATTCGCGTTTGGCAGCGCGGCCGGATGGCATGTCCGGGCAGCATGTCCGCCCCCAACTTTTGGGGACATTAGCTTATTCACCGTATCCCCAAGAGTGAGATGCATACATAACTTTTTCATCTCCGTGCGTGCCGTAATGCAGAGTAATCCTTGATAGTTGAGACACAACATCTCATCTTGATCTGACACTTTGAACCCGGTCATCGACGGTCATGTCGGTTTATAAAAAATTAATATCATAACAAAAATATACACCGGTTTTTGGTATGAACCGGTATACCGCCCAGCACTACATAAAAGTACATGCAGCATCAAGTTTGAGAGTTAGGGCAAATTCTGACAACACCGATCTCAAAATGTACGTATTTTTTCCCCCTTTGTGCTTGCAGGTTCATTCTGAGAATCGACTCTGATGGCACCAAACACTAAAGGCACAGAGCAGATGGAAATCTGGAAAGATCCACTCAAAAAAAAAAAGCATCAGCCTGAACCCCTCAGTGTTTCTCATCAGAGAGAGAGCTTGTCAATTTTGACTGGCAAAATTATTGAAATGTAACAACACAAACTGACGCCCCAACGTCTGTGAAGAGACGACTCAACGCCGGCGATATGTTATTCCCTTAATATTACATGATTAACTAAATGTATTTTTTTCCATGTACTTTCTGAAATACACTTACTGTAAAGCTTCTTTGAAACAATATGAATGTTAGCCAGAGGAGAACTGGCCCCCGACTGAGCCTGGGTTCTCCCAAGGTTTTTTTCTCCATCCAATCTGATGGAGTTTTGGTTCCTTGCCACTGTTGCCTTGCTTTTGGCTTGCTTAGTTGGGGATATTTAATATTCAACAATATTATTGATCTGTGTTGTACTACTTTCATGTTATCACTGTGAAGCTGCTTTGATGCAATCTGTATTGTGAAAAGCGCTATATAAATAAATGTGACTTGACTTGACTTGACTCTGGTGATTTTGCCTTTTTTCGTCAGCTATTGAAGTCAAGATTTTTAATTTGTACTTCTAAAAACAAAATGTTCAACAATTAAAAATAATAAAAAATCCAGCTGCCAGTAAGTTACTGTAAAATTTACAGCAATCCCTTCACAGCATCCGTGGATTTTGTATATTCAATATAAAATGAGCTAGATGAAAATCAAAGTGTAGCATACCACATTTAATAAACACTACAATAAGGTCTCATTTGTTAAAATTATTTAATGCATTAGCTAGAATGCAATAATATATTATAGTATTAATATGTTATTACTATACAAGTAATAATGATCAATATATATATATATATATATATATATATATAGATAGATAGATAGATAGATAGATAGATAGATAGATAGATAGATAGATAGATAGATAGATAGATAGATAGATAGATAGATAGATAGATAGATAGATAGATAGATAGATATATAGATTGTAAACAGCAGCCTTGTGGGCAGCGCTCCAACATGTAATACGGTAGTGCTTTTTATTTATTTATTTATTTTTTAAATAATCTGAGGTTGAAAAGTATAAACCATTGATTGACAAAAATTTCCAGGCCTGCTCTCTAAATAAATACAAAAATAAATAAATAATATAGTTTATATATATATACACTGCATATTTTTTTAAATGTCAGAAAATGCTTTCTGAAAAGACCTTTCTGTTTAAAAAAAAAACAATTACTTGTTCAAAAAAACAATTACTTGTTCAAAAATATAATAATATTTGTATATATATATATATTACATGTATATATTAAATATAAAAATGTATTCCTTTTATTTTTTATATATCTGTAAATGGTGCAACTACATTTTCTTTGGTTGTATTTAACTGTACATAATTTAATCTCCTGCCACTGACTGCAGGAATTCTAAAGCCACTATGACATCATAAATAGAATTGTTAGGAATGCTTCTTTTATACATTCTAACAGCAGGTGAAAGTACTGAGGGCTTATTTTGCTGCTAACAATCTCAGTTGAACACATTTGACTTACGAGAGCAGTTTTTGAGACTATGTACTCCTTTTCAATGAGTATCTGTGACTGGTCCCAGTCTTCTTACATTCCACCACCTCAAATAGGCCTGAATTCTGGTAAGTGAACATACTTAACAACACTTAAAGTGGTTGATTTAAACCAAACAAATTATCGAGCATAACCTTTAAACCAGCTATTTTTGACGATTTTTTTAAAAATGCAATACATTTTACATGAATTATGATCATAATGATATTTTTTAATACTATTTATTTATACAACATCAGCTAAATCTGATTTAAATATTTTTGCTTGTTACATTAAATTACATTGTGTCATTTTTAAGGACCCCCGATGGCCCAAAATGACTTGACGACACCTCCATATCCACCTCCTCCTTACCCACTGCAGGATTGCAGAGATGAGGTGGAATCTGTCGCCCTTCCAAGATCTGATGCAATTGAGACCCATTGTGGTGTTATCAGACCCGAAAGTAATTTCCCATAACATTAATATCAAACCATTGTTGCAGTTTGTCAGTACAGAGGTGATAGAGATATTTATATGTTTATTTTTTTATGTTTAGATTTGATCTGGGATCCTTCAAATCTTAAGGAGCTTGGTCCATTGACATTTGTGGGTGTTTACAACCTTCCACCAGCCTTCTGGCCTGCCGTCACAGAGCAGGGAGAGGACAAGCGCGAGCTGTCTCTCAGCGCTGGCGTCACGGAAGCTGCAGCCACTGATTCTGAGGAACTTCTGCCTTATTTCACAGGCTCAAGAAAGAGAAAGAGGGCTATTTACTCTGGCAATGAGTTCTCTCCTGCTGCTGTCGAACGTTTTGAGATGCATGATGATTTTGAGCTCTCTGAGCCTCCACATTCAAAGCCTCGCTTGGACTCTTGTGTTGAAGATGTTCTCTCTCTTTGTCATGGCAGTGATGTGGATGGGACAAACAGAGCTGATGACAGCATCAACATAAAGAATTCCTCCTCCTTCGTGCCATATGATACGACGGACCTTTTGGAGGATTTTGATTTCTTGACACCTTCCCATCAAGCAAATGAGATCATTTCAGGCCTCTCTGTAGATGAATATGGACAGACAGAGATTGCTGCCGTCACAGAGCAGGGAGAGGACAAGCACGAGCTGTCTGCAGCCACTGATTCTGAGGAACTTCTCTCTTATTTCACAGGCTCAAGAAAGAGAAAGAGGGCTATTTACTCTGGCAATGAGTTCTCTCCTGCTGCTGCCGAACGTTTGGAGATGCATGAGGATTTTGAGCTCTCTGACCTTCACCTGGACTCTTTTGAGAGTATTGAAGATCTTTATCATTACATCTTCTCCGACGAAAGCACTGCTTTTTACGATTAAAGCGATGTAACTGGTTTCTGTGGTTTCTGTAACTCCAAAAAGGTTAGTATATTATTTCTATTTTATGTAAAACAAACATTTGCAAATGTTTTCATTTATGTTAACAGCAAACTAAACTGATTTGTCTTTTTGTTTTCGTCTGAATGGTTTAGTTGGCTTTTTTCCCCCTGACAGTCGGACTCGGCCGGATCTCCGTCACGCTGATAATATTAACTGGTAAGTTCTAGTATAAGCTAAGCTCACCAATATTATCCAAAATATTCTTTAGTTAAAACAATAACAATTACGTTTGTGTGTATCTCTGCCTCTTTAACGAAAGCTCGCCAGGCCAGGCGGAGTCGTCGGTTAGGCTATACATCAACTTAACCGCAACGAACTAATGTGTCGTGAAATACTGAGATAAAGTGCAATAGACGAAACCCTTGTTTAAGTGAGGTTTTTAAACAAGATTTTCAAGTATATGCTTGGATTTATTTTCAGGTTTGTGATCTGTATAATGTCTGCAGTCTGCAACGATGGAGGTGTGTGTTGGAGCCTTTTCATTGCCGTCATAACATCAACTGGTAGGTTGACTTCACCTAACTTAAATAAGCCGAAGTAAACTTATTAAACAGAGAAAAATAATAACATATGTATTTCCCCTCCCCTATGTATCACAACTTAGCTAGTTAGGCAGACATAGCAACGTTAACAGTGAGCTAACGTGATAAAATAAGTTAAGGAATAGTGCACCTCAAAAAGAAAGTTCTTTCTTCTGAACACAAAAGAAGATATTTTGAATAATGTTGATAATGGAACAGTTTGCTGATCCCCATTGACTTCTATAATAATAATAAAAAAATACTATGGATATCTTGTTTGGTTACTCATGTTTTTTAAAATATCTTCTTTTGTATAAAGCACAATAAATACATTAATACAGGTTATGAACAAGTTGAGGCTGAGTAAATGGTGACATAATTGTATTTTTTATAAGTAAACTTTAAGCGACACCATTGTTAATTACATCTTTTGTTTTACTTTTAAGTTTGTGGCCTGAATCATGTCTGCAATGTCGGAGGTGTGTTTTGGAGTCTTTTCTTGTGAGAGGCATCGTAATGGTGATGACATCTACAGGTGAGTAAGATAACATCAACTAAATTAGCTGAAGTATGCGTTAGTTTAACAGGCAAACATAATATAATGTAACTGTTGATGAAACGAACGGAAGGGGAGAAAACAGGTTTACCAGGTAGCAGAGTTAAAGTACTTTTAAATAATCATCCATCAGTTTCTGTTCTTTATTTTGAATTTGCAGAAGCCATTCCTTCCGGACTGTACATCACTGCTGACGCTCTCCACTGATACACAGAACAGGTTGACGTTTGAGGAGGAGGAGGAAAGGGTTAGCTATATACCATTATCAATATAGCAAAATCTTTTGCTAACTAATATTTTAAACGTTGTTTAATTTATTTAAAAACTATAAACACCATACAACATCATATCTTACATCATCTTTACTCTTCCTGCCGTTGTTGTTTGTTATAAGTTCTGTTATTGGATTTTATTTCTGTGAGCTACAATAACACTAAAAGGCTGCTGTGTCTGTTTCAGGAGAGTCTGTTCTCGAAGCAAAAACATGCATGCTGACTATGAAGAATCATCATCCAACGACAACAGCTAAAATACTCTTCCTCAGCATTAACTGTCCATTTTGTCAAATGCAGAATTAGGTAACCCAATATATATATTTTGTACATTTACATTCGTGCATTTGGCAGTCACCTTTATCCGAAGCAACTTACATTTAATTTAAGTTTAAAGGAACTTGAAATGGGTTTTTTTTCACTGTCTCCCCTATATTTAGATAAGTGGGCAAACGTATTTTTGTCTCAGTGCATGCATTGACTTAACATTTAAATCACTCGCACCACACGTTCTCGTTTGGTGTGAATGCACCATAAGACAATGTAAAGATGCAATTACAGACCTCTAGAGGTCAATCAACATCAGCCATCTTGCAAATAGACAACCGTATAGCACTTGCCCTTCCCACAAGAAGCGGATTTCGCCTCGGACGTGCGTCAATTTCGCTTCAAACACTTGCTTTTTACGCGTGTCAATTTAGCTTTGGACACGTGAATGGATTCAAAATGTTCAAGTGTCCAATAGACAAGAACAATTAGACAAGAGGTAGACAAGAATTTTGCACTCTATTCGCGTTTGGCAGCGCGGCCGGATGGCATGTCCGGGCAGCATGTCCGCCCCCAACTTTTGGGGACATTAGCTTATTCACCGTATCCCCAAGAGTGAGATACATACATAACTTTTTCATCTCCGTGCGTGCCGTAATGCAGAGTAATCCTTGATAGCTGAGACACAACACCTCACCTTGATCTGACACTTTGAACCCGGTCATCGACGGTCATGTCGGTTTATTAAAAATTAATATCATAACAAAAATATACACCGGTTTTTGGTATGAACCGGTATACCGCCCAACACTACATAAAAGTACATGCAGCATCAAGTTTGAGAGTTAGGGCAAATTCTGACAACACCGATCTCAAAATGTACGTATTTTTTCCCCCTTTGTGCTTGCAGGTTCATTCTGAGAATCGACTCTGATGGCACCAAACACTAAAGGCACAGAGCAGATGGAAATCTGGAAAGATCCACTCAAAAAAAAAAGCATCAGCCTGAACCCCTCAGTGTTTCTCATCAGAGAGAGAGCTTGTCAATTTTGACTGGCAAAATTATTGAAATGTAACAACACAAACTGACGCCCCAACGTCTGTGAAGAGACGACTCAACGCCGGCGATATGTTATTCCCTTAATATTACATGATTAACTAAATGTATTTTTTTCCATGTACTTTCTGAAATACACTTACTGTAAAGTTTCTTTGAAACAATATGAATGTTAGCCAGAGGAGAACTGGCCCCCGACTGAGCCTGGGTTCTCCCAAGGTTTTTTTCTCCATCCAATCTGATGGAGTTTTGGTTCCTTGCCACTGTTGCCTTGCTTTTGGCTTGCTTAGTTGGGGATATTTAATATTCAACAATATTATTGATCTGTGTTGTACTACTTTCATGTTATCACTGTGAAGCTGCTTTGATGCAATCTGTATTGTGAAAAGCGCTATATAAATAAATGTGACTTGACTTGACTCTGGTGATTTTGCCTTTTTTCGTCAACTATTGAAGTCAAGATTTTTAATTTGAACTTCTAAAAACAAAATGTTCAACAATTAAAAATAATATTTTAAGGACATATGTTCATGAGTTGTTGTAATTTTTGGGGGTGGGGTAAACGTAAAAAATCCAGCTGCCAGTAAGTTACTGTAAAATTTACAGCAATCCCTTCACAGCATCCGTGGATTTTGTATATTCAATATAAAATGAGCTAGATGAAAATCAAAGTGTAGCATACCACATTTAATAAACACTACAATAAGGTCTCATTTGTTAAAATTATTTAATGCATTAGCTAGAATGCAATAATATATTATAGTATTAATATGTTATTACTATACAAGTAATAATGATCAATATATATATATATATATATAGATAGATATAGATAGATAGATAGATAGATAGATAGATAGATAGATAGATAGATAGATAGATAGATAGATAGATAGATAGATAGATAGATAGATAGATTGTAAACAGCAGCCTTGTGGGCAGCGCTCCAACATGTAATACGGTAGTGCTTTTTATTTATTTATTTATTTTTTAAATAATCTGAGGTTGAAAAGTATAAACCATTGATTGACAAAAATTTCCAGGCCTGCTCTCTAAATAAATACAAAAATAAATAAATAATATAGTTTATATATATATACACTGCATATTTTTTTAAATGTCAGAAAATGCTTTCTGAAAAGACCTTTCTGTTTAAAAAAAAAACAATTACTTGTTCAAAAAAACAATTACTTGTTCAAAAATATAATAATATTTGTATATATATATATATTACATGTATATATTAAATATAAAAATGTATTCCTTTTATTTTTTATATATCTGTAAATGGTGCAACTACATTTTCTTTAGTTGTATTTAACTGTACATAATTTAATCTCCTGCCACTGACTGCAGGAATTCTAAAGCCACTATGACATCATAAATAGAATTGTTAGGAATGCTTCTTTTATACATTCTAACAGCAGGTGAAAGTACTGAGGGCTTATTTTGCTGCTAACAATCTCAGTTGAACACATTTGACTTACGAGAGCAGTTTTTGAGACTATGTACTCCTTTTCAATGAATTCCTGTGACTGGTCCCAGTCTTCTTACATTCCACCACCTCAAATAGGCCTGAATTCTGGTAAGTGAACATGCTTAACAACACTTAAAGTGGTTGATTTAAACCAAACAAATTATCGAGCATAACCTTTAAACCAGCTATTTTTGACGATTTTTTTTCAAATGCAATACATTTTACATGAATTATGATCATAATGATATTTTTAATACCATTTCTTTATACAACATCAGCTAAATCTGATTTAAATATTTTTGCTTGTTACATTAAATTACATTGTGTCATTTTTAAGGACCCCCGATGGCCCAAAATGACTTGACGACACCTCCATATCCACCTCCTCCTTACCCACTGCAGGATTGCAGAGATGAGGTGGAATCTGTCGCCCTTCCAAGATCTGATGCAATTGAGACCCATTGTGGTGTTATCAGACCCGAAAGTAATTTCCCATAACATTAATATCAAACCATTGTTGCAGTTTGTCAGTACAGAGGTGATAGAGATATTTATATGTTTATTTTTTTTATGTTTAGATTTGATCTGGGATCCTTCAAATCTTAATGAGCTTGGTCCATTGACATTTGTGGGTGTTTACAACCTTCCACCAGCCTTCTGGCCTGCCGTCACAGAGCAGGGAGAGGACAAGCGCGAGCTGTCTCTCAGCGCTGGCGTCACGGAAGCTGCAGCCACTGATTCTGAGGAACTTCTGCCTTATTTCACAGGCTCAAGAAAGAGAAAGAGGGCTATTTACTCTTGCAATGAGTTCTCTCCTGCTGCTGTCGAACATTTTGAGATGCATGATGATTTTGAGCTCTCTGAGCCTCCACATTCAAAGCCTCGCTTGGACTCTTGTGTTGAAGATGTTCTCTCTCTTTGTCATGGCAGTGATGTGGATGGGACAAACAGAGCTGATGACAGCATCAACATAAAGAATCCCTCCTCCTTCGTGCCATATGATACGACGGACCTTTTGGAGGATTTTGATTTCTTGACACCTTCCCATCAAGCAAATGAGATCATTTCAGGCCTCTCTGTAGATGAATATGGACAGACAGAGATTGCTGCCGTCACAGAGCAGGGAGAGGACAAGCACGAGCTGTCTGCAGCCACTGATTCTGAGGAACTTCTCTCTTATTTCACAGGCTCAAGAAAGAGAAAGAGGGCTATTTACTCTGGCAATGAGTTCTCTCCTGCTGCTGCCGAACGTTTGGAGATGCATGAGGATTTTGAGCTCTCTGACCCTCGCCTGGACTCTTTTGAGAGTATTGAAGATCTTTATCATTACATCTTCTCCGACGAAAGCACTGCTTTTTACGATTAAAGCGATGTAACTGGTTTCTGTGGTTTCTGTAACTCCAAAAAGGTTAGTATATTATTTCTATTTTATGTAAAACAAACATTTGCAAATGTTTTCATTTATGTTAACAGCAAACTAAACTGATTTGTCTTTTTGTTTTCGTCTGAATGGTTTAGTTGGCTTTTTTCCCCTTGACAGTCGGACTCGGCCGGATCTCCGTCACGGTGATAATATTAACTGGTAAGTTCTAGTATAAGCTAAGCTCACCAATATTATCCAAAATATTCTTTAGTTAAAACAATAACAATTACGTTTGTGTGTATCTCTACCTCTTTAACGAAACCTCGCCAGGCCAGGCGGAGTCGTCGGTTAGGCTATACATCAACTTAATCGCAACGAACTAATGTGTCGTGAAATACTGAGATAAAGTGCAATAGACGAAACCCTTGTTTAAGTGAGGTTTTTAAACAAGATTTTCAAGTATATGCTTGGATTTATTTTCAGGTTTGTGATCTGTATAATGTCTGCAACGATGGAGGTGTGTGTCGGAGCCTTTTCATTGCCGTCATAACATCAACTGGTAGGTTGACTTCACCTAACTTAAATAAGCCGAAGTAAACTTATTAAACAGAGAAAAATAATAACATATGTATTTCCCTTCCCCTATGTATCACAACTTAGCTAGTTAGGCAGACATAGCAACGTTAACAGTGAGCTAACGTGATAAAATAAGTTAAGGAATAGTGCACCTCAAAAAGAAAGTTCTTTCTTCTGAACACAAAAGAAGATATTTTGAATAATGTTGATAATGGAACAGTTTGCTGATCCCCATTGACTTCTATAATAATAATAAAAAAATACTATGGATATCTTGTTTGGTTACTCATGTTTTTTAAAATATCTTCTTCTATTTCCCATCTGCCTTTCTGCTGTTATCTCAGGACGCTTGTCCCGAGAAAAATGGCATTCGTCAGCTCCAGTTTTGTATCCAACCTCTCACGGGGATTCGGACGCCCCAATGCCTGTGAAGAGACGACTCACTGCCGGCGATATGTTATTCCCTTAATATTACATGATTAACTAAAAGTATTTTTTCCATGTACTTTCTGAAATACACTTACTGTAAAGCTTCTTTGAAACAATATGAATGTTAGCCAGAGGAGAACTGGCCCCCGACTGAGCCTGGGTTCTCCCAAGGTTTTTTTCTCCATCCAATCTGATGGAGTTTTGGTTCCTTGCCACTGTTGCCTTGCTTTTGGCTTGCTTAGTTGGGGATATTTAATATTCAACAATATTATTGATCTGTGTTGTACTACTTTTTCATGTTATCACTGTGAAGCTGCTTTGATGCAATCTGTATTGTGAAAAGCGCTATATAAATAAATGTGACTTGACTTGACTTGACTGTGGTGATTTTGCCTTTTTTTCTTCAGCTATTGAAGTCAAGATTTTTAATTTGTACTTCTAAAAACAAAATGTTCAACAAGTAAAAAGAATATTTTAAGGACGTATGTTCATGAGTTGTAATTTTTGGGGGTGGGGTAAACGTAAAAAAAAATCAATACTAATACTGTAAATGACAATATGGTAACTAGACAAAATACTGTAAATGGTACAGTATACTGTAAATAAAAATACAGTAATAATGATACTGTATACATTTTACAGTAACTTACTGGCATCCTGCTGCATCCTTGCCCTTTACAGTGACAATATGCCAATCAATCTGAACATATAGTTTATAAGTCTAAAAATATAACGCAAACCTGAATATATAGTTCATCTAAATATATAAATGTAAATCTGAATAACGTTATAGTTTATAAGCCTGAATAAATCAATTTAAATCTGAAAATCTGAATAGAAATCTGAAGTTAAAAGTCTGAATATGTAAATGTAATTCTAAATATATAAATGCAAATCTGAATACATAGTTTATAAATCTGAATCTATAGTCTGAATATAAATATAAGTTTGATTAATTATATAGATTTACATTTATATATTCAGGCTTATAAATATATATTCAGATTTAAATTTATGTATTCAAATTTACATATAATTATTTCCTGTTTGGCCCTACACACTTTCTCCATTACAAATACTATACATAAACTAAAGGTGCCCTATAATGGTTATTTACATTATTTTATAATGTTTCCTGGGTTGCCCTTATAATGTTAGTATGTTTTTTAGATCAAAAATAGTCATAATTTAGAAATAAAAGGCATTTTTCCTAGCCTGATTTTAGCCTCTGCTTTGAATAACCCGGTTTGAAGAGGCGTGTCGTCTCTGTGTAACGGAAACGATGTGAAGTTGATTTTTAATCACTGGCCTGACTTACTGATGCATAAACAGTATTGAACGATTTTAAAGTGAAAGATTACCTGTCTGAACTTGAACAACATCAGCTCGGTCCGAGGCCAGCTCTTGGCAAGTTGAGGAAACAAGTCGTCTGTGAAATGGTTGAAAATTTCCAGAGAAAATAAAATTAATCCATTGTTTCTTCAGAGGCTCGGACGAAGGAACTAAAATATACTTTTGTATTCATGTGTACATCCGGTACATCCGAACACTGATCAACTGCCATGCTTCTGCGCAGCTCCGTCTCGTCTGTGTCTGTCACTGAACATGGGCTGGCATATGCAAATGTTTGGAGTCATACATATTAATGATCCCGACTTTAACGCCAGAGTCAGTATTATATGGAGATTCGCCTGTTTTTAGGGGTGTTTTTCAAAAACGAGATTTAGTAAGAAGGATAAAACAATGATGTTTGAGACTCACTGTATGTCATGTCCATATACTGAACTCTTGTTATTTAAGTATGCCAACATAAATTCAATTTCACATTATAGGGCACCTCTAAGCAAAAAAAAAAAAAAAAAAAGAATAAAAATAAAGGTCCCCTTTTCAGGATACTGTATTTTAAAGATAATTTTGTAAAATAAATCCAAATAGGCTACGCTTTACAAAACATTGGAAACATTGGAAAATCTTGCTTGTTCAATGAAACATCTAGAAAGCATGATGTTACTCAAGAATGAGTCAATTCAGTTTTCATACAGTCACAATCAACAATGTTAATACTAAACAATATGATTCACTTTTTAAAAATAAAAGTTGCTGAACACAAAATATTCTAATTATAGTATTGGTAAATTCTGTTTATTGAATAATAAAAGGTGTATGATTTTATCTCCAGCTCTTAAACAGCTAATCGAGGTCAACTTTCAGGCAGGAGTGCTGGAGCTAAACTCTTCATGACGAGGAACCAACACCTCTGATATATAGCCATTAAATACATCTCAGTTCATTTTTTGTGAAACTACATAGCATTACTGTAACAGGTTTATCTTGTAGAATAAAAGTGAAAATGAAAATTTCAAAAGAAAGAACTTCGTGCAGGTTTGGAACAACTTGAGGGTGAATAAATAATGACATCATTTTAATTTCAAGCTGAACTATCCCTTTGAAGCTGCAGATTCACCTTATGTAGACCTTAATATCTTTAAAGCTGGAGTCCATAACTTTTTTAGGTAAACAATTATCCAAAATAAAGTTTTGAGCAAGTACATAAAGAACCAGTGTTCAAAAAAAACTCTCTGCTTGCCTTAGGTCGATTCAAAGCGGTATGTAATGTTTTTAATTCCAGTGATGCCACATCTGTACACATAAAGAAGAATCTCGGCTAGTATAAGCTATATTGAGTCATTACGTCGCATCTGTACACATAAAGAAGAGTCTCGGTAAGCTATATTGAGTCATTATGTCACATCTGTACACATAAAGAAGAGTCTCGGCTAGTATAAGCTATATTGAGTCATTACGTCACATCTGTACACATAAAGAAGAGTCTCGGTTAGTATAAGCTATATTGAGTCATTAGGCCACATCTGTACATATAAAGAAGAGTCTCGGTTAGTATAAGCTATATTGAGTCATTACGTCACATCTGTACACATAAAGAAGAGTCTCGGCTAGGATAAGCTATATTGAGTCATTACGCCACATCTGTACACATAAAGAAGAGTCTCGGCTAGTATAAGCTATATTGAGTCATTACGTCACATCTGTACACATAAAGAAGGGTCTCGGTTAGTATAAGCTATATTGAGTCATTACGCCACATCTGTACACATAAAGAAGAGTCTCGGCTAGTATAAGCTATATTGAGTCAATACGTCACATCTGTACACATAAAGAAGAGTCTCGGCTAGTATAAGCTATATTGAGTCATTACGCCACATCTGTCCACATAAAGAAGAGTCTCGGTTAGTATAAGCTATATTGAGTCATTACGCCACATCTGTACACATAAAGAAGAGTCTCGGCTAGTATAAGCTATATTGAGTCATTACGCCACATCTGTACACATAAAGAAGAGTCTCGGCTAGTATAAGCTATATTGAGTCATTACGTCACATCTGTACACATAAAGAAGAGTCTCGGCTAGTATAAGCTATATTGAGTCATTACGTCACATCTGTACACATAAAGAAGAGTCTCGGCTAGTATAAGCTATATTGAGTCATTACGCCACATCTGTACACATAAAGAAGAGTCTCGGCTAGTACAAGCTATATTGAGTCAATACGTCACATCTGTACACATAAAGAAGAGTCTCGGCTAGTACAAGCTATATTGAGTCAATACGTCACATCTGTACACATAAAGAAGAGTCTCTGCCAGTATAAGCTATATTGAGTCATTACGTCACATCTGTACAAGTAAAGAAGAGTCTCGGCTAGAAGACTATATTGTGTCATTACGTCACATCTGTACACATAAAGAAGAGTCTCGGCTAGTAAAAGCTATATTGAGTCAATACGTCACATCTGTACACATAAAGAAGAGTCTTGGCTAGTATAAGCTATATTGAGTCATTACGTCACATCTGTACAAGTAAAGAAGAGTCTCGGCTAGAAGACTATATTGTGTCATTACGTCACATCTGTCCACATAAAGAAGAGTCTCGGCTAATATAAGCTATATTGAGTCATTACGCCACATCTGTACACGTAAAGAAGAGTCTCGGCTAGTAGGCTATTTTGCGTGTCAGAATGTTGGAGGTGGACATTTATTGCCTTTTCTCACAGCACTTGATATAATTAAACTTATTAATTTGATGGTGGATCCAGAAAGGTTCAAACGACAGTCACCATTGACAACAGATTCACTCGCTGTAAAATGCAAAAGACTTTGGACTGAGAGTTTGGAAAAAGAGACTGCAACCGGACCCATGCGAAAACAAGGATAGGCCTAAATATCTGAAGGGCTTTAAATGTAGTTACGCAATGCTGATGTTGAACATTAACAATTTGAGAACAAAGTATAATTTGCACGGTTTGATGTGATATGATGAGTGATCTGTAAATTTAATCTGTGAAATGTACTGTAATGTTTTTTTTCCCTTAGTTGGTCAGAACAACAAAAGTGGATGTTGCTTACTTGTTCAGATGATATTTCAAGGTGACAATTCTTATGTTGGTCAGACTTCCAAAATGTACAATCTGTGATTATGAATGCCAGTATCCACACTGGCGTGGAGACTGACAGCTGCACACTCTCCTCAAACACTGGATACATCCGCGCTGTGCCGTGCCGAGACACAACCCACGTAAAGTTGATAATTCCACGAATATCTGCAATTGTAGATTTCAAACAGAGATGGCGACAAACTGCGGACTGCAGCTTTAAATATCACAAAATAGCCCATGTCAATCACTTTCTTAATAAACACAAGATGTTTTTTGTTTTAGGTTTCAGTGTAAATGAGCTAAACTAAATGGAAATCAGTTACATTTCTCAAATTTAATACAGATTCAGGAATATGGATGATTAGGTAAAAAGGCCAGGTCAGGTGATTATGTCAACAACAACTTAATGTATCAATGTCAGCATTATCAGGAGGGTGCTTCTCTCTCTCTTTTTTCAATTGTCCATCTTCATCATGCCTTCACTCCTACTAAAGGAGCAATGTTCTCTGCATGCAAGCCCTGAAGGATGCCAGACATGGGCTCTGTTTACAGTTTAACATTCTTGCTCATGTTCATGTCTCCTGCACTTCAAGAAATCTGTTAAATGACGTTAGAACTTTATTTAGGACATTCCCAATAAACTTTACTAAAGCAAGATGCAAAATAGATGCTTTATGCAAACGGTTTCATGTATCTAATTACAGTAACAACACAAATCAAATGCAAAACAAAGGAACAAAGAAATATGCACCATTGTTTGAAACTGTGCTAGAGAAGTCATGTAAGTATGTCATGTGCTTCAACAAACAAGAGGTCTGTATCGGATGCACATGTTTTCTCTCTAATGAGGAAGCTTTAGACAACTGAGAAGTACACATGCAAAACCATGGGTGTTTACCAATCAGTGGGCAATTTCAAACTACAATAAAAAAATTTCAACCATTTTTCAACAGACTTGCTAAACTCATGAAGGCCCACCCCTAAACCAAACCCCCAGAAGATTGAGGTTGAAAATGCCCATTTTGGTTTGAAAACACCACACAGATTGAGAAACACCCACTAGTGTTCTGCAGATGATCTTGTGTTCATCAACTGCAAATCAATGTTAGTTCAATGTCACTGTCTCCACATGTGTGTGCATGCTGGCTTTCATCAACACATTAAACATTGACATGTCAATCTGAACCAAAATGATGGTTTGGATCAAAACTCAACATTGTATCTGTGTAAACAAACAGTGTCTGGTGACAGTATCTAGGAAACACTGAAACACTGATGATCTCAGACTCACAGACTGTTCATAAGCTCAACTCCCAACATTACATCAGAGGAGATTGTGTAAGTGCAAGAAGATTGAGGAGTTCAAATCCATCCTTTTTACATTTTTCCTATTAAAACTGACAAAGTTATAAATATCACAAAAAAGCAGACATCAGTGAAAAAAAGGAAGAGACGTGGGTGTGTTTACATACTCGAGTAAGTCTTGTGTGGGTGAAGAAAGTTCATGAGGAAGTTACCCAGACGAGTTTTTTTTTTTTTTACAAGTTTATTCCACAATTTCTGTAACTTCAATAATGTCTCAGACATTATTTCTTATTTTAAATGTTGTTAATGTGGTAACTCATCATTGAAAAATGTCACGGATATTTAAAGGAGGTATAGGCCTATTTATATAAATTTGCCATGTATGGCACATCAAAAGCTGAACATGTCTGCTTAAAATTGCCATATTTATTATTATTATCATTTACAAACTAACAGTTGGAATTATATAGGCTAGTCATGGCTTTGTTTATTTTAAAATATTATAGAGATAACTACAGTGACAAATTAGTTTAGGCAGTGTTTTTTAATTGTTGTTTTTTTCTGTCAATGATATGATGATCCCCTTATAAGTGTTATATGTGTATCCTGTGTTTCCCCCCTTCTTTGTGAATTTGGTTCAGTCCTGTTTCTATTTTTCCGCTCCTCGTTACTGTTTAGTTCATTCACCTATCTATCCCTGTGTATTTAAGACCTGTGTTTCAATCTGTTCCTTGTCTGTCATTTTCACTGTTCTGTTCATGTTTATGTATCATTCTTGTTTAATAAAACTGCTGCATTTCTATCCTGTTCCTTTCCTGCTTCAACCAGCCCGTGACAATAAGGGACCCTGTTCCAAATTACAAATGCTATATAATTTCATGAATAAAGATCCATTTATGTGTTACAAAAAAAGTGATTTTATAAAAGTGAAAATCTGTTGTTAGCAAAGTGTGTTTATGTTGTTACTGCAGCCAAAAACATATATCAGTATCTTAAAAATAGTGACTTTGTAATTTATTTTTGTAGCACATTTCACAATAAATTTCGTTAAGCATTTTTACAGTTAAAAGAGTAGTTCACTTTAAAAAAAAAAAACTTTTGCTGATAATTGACTCACTCTCATGTCATGATGTCATCCAAGATGTCCATGTTTTTGATGAAAACATTCCAGGATTTTTCTCCATATAATGGACTTCAATGGGAACCAAACGGTTCAAGGTCTAAAAGACAGTTTCATTGCAAACCGTTACTCATGGGGGTGAGTAAATTATCAGCAAAAGTTTTTTTTTTAAAGTGAACTACTTTTTTGTCAACATCAAAAATTTTAACCTGTCCATTTTTTTGGTACTTATAGTGGAATTCAAATCTTGTATTGTAAGCATTTTGCATTTTGTGGGGAGGTTTGTGGCTACATATTTCATCATAAATCTTTCAAAATCCTCTGTGAAATCCTAGCTTGAGAAATGCTGTCACTGTGGTAATATAATGTGAAAATGATTATAAGGCTTAAAAAATATCTTTGGAAGCAGTGTAGTATTTCAATAACATATGAGTCATGTCTTTTTTCAACTATTCAATAATATCTAGGAAATCTGATAATTAAAAAAGAGGAACAAGTCATAAAAGGCAATGACCACTTGAATGAGATTTTTTTTTTTTTTTTTTTACAATTGCTTCCTTCTCTTTTTCAGTAAACAAGGACCTCTAAAAGACACACATGTGAACGTGAAGAACTGCTCATCAAGAATGTCGTCAGTAACTGTAACTGTAAACCAACAATTACAGAATGTTGGGGTGATTGACCAGTGTTGGGGTGATGCATTACAAGTAACACGAGTTACGTAATCAGATTACTTTTTTTTAAGTAACTGAGTAGCACTACTTTTAAATTTACAATATAAAATGAGTAATTTATAAAATTTTGTAATACAATACAATATTATAATTTATCAAGTTACTTTATTTTCCGATTTAGTGATCATCGATGGATCGTGTTACTTTGATGTGAAAATGACTTTTTATTTTTATTTTTGTTTATTAAAAAACAAATAAGCAAACTCAGCCCTAGCTGGTAAGGAAAAGTCGCACAAAACTATGCATTACTTTCCATAAAAAGTAACAAAGCAACACAATACGTTACTTTTTTTAAGGTAGTAATGCTATATGCATTACTTTTTACAGTAATCTGATTATAACTCTAACACAATCAAGTTATCTCTACATTCATTGTAAAAAATATTTTCATTATTTGTAATCACAACATTTTGTCTTTTGTCAAATCAACTTAGATAATTTAGTTCAGATAACACAATATTTTGAGTTTCTGGTGATTAAACTAATTTCCTTCATTGTATTAACTCAATTTTTCCATTTCAATGAACTTAAATTTTCAAGGCAACCAGGTTACTTATTTTTTTAAGTTAAACCAGCAATAGTTGGATTGATAGTAATACCATTTAGGAATAAAAGTTATTTAATCATAAAAAGCTCAATCCTTGAACAATATTGTAATTGTGTGGTTTCCTTCTAGACAATATACCAGTGAAATTGTTCTTTCCTGCATTTAAAGGTATACCTATAAATTATTTGTTAGGTATGACCCAATAATGTTGTGGGGATCTTTACTATTTGTAGTTAGCATCTTTTCTTAAATAATAAACGTGATTTACTATTTCCCATTGCATTTATTAATCAAAATATTATTGTGCATGATACAAAAAGTGTGCAGTGTACATCCTATTCAAAATGTGTTAATCATCAATTTCTGTAAAATGTTAAACACAACACTATTTCTGGAATTTTCTCTCTGTATTTCCTCATCAGGGTTTGTGGAATAGGAAGTGTTCGGTGCCCATCGCCCCTCCCACGGCCATAGTCCATATAACTCTATAAACCCCACGAGTGATCAGATCATAACAGCTCAGATCATAACCCTCGCCCTCGTCACAGGATGGCTGAATCTTATGTGCGACATGTGGAACTGTTGGGCTTTGAGAAAAGATTCTTTCCCAGCCAGCACTATGTAAGTAAATCAGCATTTCAAATGATATTTCACATTTTACACATTATTGTGGTGCAGATACAAAAATAAACAAGTGCTATGATTACAATTATCATATTTTTTTCTAAAGGTATACATGCTCCTGGTTAAATGGAGTGATCAGTCTGAAAAGCTGGTGTACAGACGCTATCCAGAAATCCACACATTTCATGTAAGTCTCTTTCAGTTTTCTATAATTGAAAGTATGGTGGTAGAGTATTTCCCTTTACCTAACTGATTTTATTTTCATTGCTGCAATCATTTCCTGTTTTTGTAAGTCACGCTTTGTCACATTTGTATAAAAGTATGGTAACACTTTACAATAAAGTCCCATTAAGGCATTAAATAACTACGAGCAACACATTTGTTGGTTTAACTTTAAAAAAAAGTAACCTGGTTGCCTTAAAATTTTAAGTTCATTGAAATTGAAAAATTGAGTTAATACAATGAAGGAGATTGATTTAATCATCAGAAACTCAAAATATTATGTTATCTGAACTACATAAATTATCTAAGTTGATTTGAAAAAAGAAAAAAATGTTGTGATTACAAATCATGAAAATATTTTTTTTTACAGTATGCAACTATTAATTATTAGTGATGCAATTAACATTAACTACACTCTAAAAAAATGCTAGGTTGTTTTAACTCAATTTTGGGTCAAATATGGACAAACCCAGCTGTTGGATGACATTAAATCGCATTTTTAATCAAACGTTTGGGTTTGTTCATATTTGACTCAAAATTGAGTTAAAACAACCCAGCATTTTTTAGAGTGTAAGATTATTAAAAGCATTGTTCTATGTTAGTTCATGTTCTAATATTGATAAATGGAACCTTATCGTAACATTTTACCAACTTTCTGCAACATGCTGTGTTGTTTTAACCCAATTTTGGGTCAAATATGGACAAATTCAAACAGTGGATTGAAAAAATGGAATTTAAAAAAGCAACCCAATGGCTGGGTTTGTCCATTTGACCCAAAATTGTGTTAAAACAACCCAGCATTTTTTAGAGTGTAATCAGTCTGCAAGAAGTATAAAAATATATTTCCTTTACAGAAAGCAATAAAGGAAATGTTCCCTATTGAGGCAGGAGACATTGACTCAAAGGACAGAATCATTCCCACTTTACCAGGTACATTACAGTTTTTACAGTAAATGTCTTTCATGAAGAAAACAATGTCGCATCAAATGATTTACCAGGTTAACAGCAGCGACAGACGTACCGGCCAGCAATAAATGTGCCATGGTGTGACAGTTTCATTTTTCAGAAAATACAGAAATAAGTATCATGTCTCATGTTAATATCAGAAGAGGAAACACCTGCTTCACGTCAAGCATATCTCAGTCTGTATAGAGTTCATGAAAGGTGCTTAACGCGTTAAAACCTTTTCTATTTGCATGCTGTAATAGAAGTACTCGCCTTTTTGTTTTGGGTTTTTTCAGTTTGAGTTTCAGTTCTGCAAAAAAAACCTTTTCATAGGGGACATTGTAACTGATGCTGATAAGCTGTTTTCTTTGGACTTTCCAATGTGGCAGGAAAGATACCATTGTAACATAAAACTTGTTTTAAAAGAGTTTGTGCAACATACCACAGAGTTTCCTGTATTAAGAAAATGCAAGTGAAACATCTGAAGATGGAACTGGATAAATATTCAGAATGTCCAGTCTTACTTCTGACCTGACCTACAATGCCGCCTGAATCATATTCATTCACTGTTCATTCGTTGAATCGTTGGCCAGATGATAACTGGCCCCCGACTGAGTCGGGTTTCTCCCAAGGTTTTCCCACCTGCTGGAGTTTTGGTTGCCTTTGGCTTTTGAATTGCTTAGTTGAGCACACTTAAAGGGATAGTTCACTTTGAAATTCATTTTTGGTATGTTTTAGCTTACCCCAAGGGCATCCAAGATGTAGGTGTCTTTGTTTCCACAGTATTTTCAATTTTGATATTTTTAGGTCAAACTGTTCATGTCTATCAGTCATATAATGGAGGTCTATGGTCACCACCTCAAAGAGCATGCACAGAGAAGTCCAAATTAAAAATGATTTAATGACTCGTAAATCTAGCTACACACTGATGGCCTAAGACATGAAAAGAGCGGTTTGTGTGAGAAAACGAACAGTATTTATAGCAATTTTACCTCTTGTAACCACAGCCACAAAGCGCCCGCCCCCTCTGATCACTTGGACGTGGCTGTGGTTACAAGAGGTAAAAACAATATAAATACTGTTCGTTTCTCACACAAACCGCTCGTTTCGTGTCTTAGGCCATCAACGTGTACTGACATTTACGAGTCATTAATATAAATCATAATCTGGACTTTTCTGTGCATGCTCTTTGAGGTGGTGACCATAGACCCCCATTATATGACTGATAGACACGAACAGTTTGACCTAAAAATATCAAAATTGAAACTACTGCGGAAAAAAAGACACCTACATCTTGGATGCCCTTGAGGTAAGCTAAAACATATCAAAAATTAATTTCGAAGTGAACTATCCCTTTAATAGTACTGATCTGCCTGCATTGACACCATTATTTGAGAACTGAATTGAGCTGGACGATGACATCACTAGCGGCTATATATAAATAAACTAAGTTAATAACTTTTTTTACAACAAAAATGAACCATTACTGAACTTACTTCACACTATTTTCTTCTTGATCTGCTGTACAGAAGAAACACACTTTGACGCATTATTATAAAGCTAATTTGAAACAATATTGTAAATACAATCTATTTAAATGAAGGTGACTTGACTTGACGATCTGTATTTAAATCTCTCTCAGCTCCTAAATGGCTGGACAACCAGAAAACGACCGAGACGAGGCAGGTGACTCTTGCTGAATACTTTCGTTCCCTTCTCAACCTACCAGAGAAGATCTCTCGCTGTCAGCTTGTTCGGGACTTCTTCAAAATGCGGCTTGAAGATGAAACTCCACCAGCACCGCACCCGTAAGACTGTCTGCTTAAACTCAGAGATGTGGTATTGTGGTCGTCGTTCTCATGCTTTAAACCATATGGGCAATGCTCAGATATTGCTCATGATGTTTTCTGATCATGTTCCGTCACAAAATATTTTACAAGGTGGCGATTTCTTATGAATTTGTATTATGTGAATCTTACAAAGATGTATGATTGTTAGAAAACATGCCCATCACTGGGGTGTAAGCTGATCGTACGAAAATGTACAAACGAGATCATCCTAATTCCTGTGAATTATGCACCGATTTGCCAAAACGTACAATAGTTACGTATTGCCATGAGATTGTGATGTGACTGTCCCTCATGTGTTGTATCCTATTTGTTTTGTACAATGAATTATAAAGGCCAAAAAATATCTCACCTGCAAACATTGATCAACTTTATGAAAGCAGTATTTTCAGAAATATATTTCTTTCTATAGATACAAAAGAAACGAGACCTTCATTATGTCCACAAACAGAGCACGGAGCAACACCACATCAGGTAAGATCAGCTTTCCTGTTTCTGATTATGTAATTTAATTGCAAAACACCGTATGCCATTTCCCGACAGGTTTTATATCTGCTGTTCTTTGTTCAGAGATCACGGGGCCTATTATGCTGGAGAGCTACAGAGTGATTGCAGACTACAGCAAGAGCTCAAAGTACGAGCTCACCCTAAAGATGGGAGACATGGTGGATATTGTGGAGAAAAGCCAAAATGGTGCGAAAAAAATCGATCTATCTATCATCCTTTCATCCATCCATCCGCCCACCCACCTATCATCCATCCATTCATCCATCCACCCATCATCCATCCATCCGGCCACCCACACACCCACCCACCATCCACCCACCCATCATCCATCCATCCGCCCACCCACCCATCATCCAGCCATCCTCCCACCCACCCATCATCCATCCATCCGCCCACCCATCCATCATCCATCCATCCGCCCACCCACCCATCATCCATCCAACCGCACACCCACCCATCATCCATCCATCCTCCCACCCACCCATCATCCATCCATCCGCCCACCCACCCATCATCCAGCCATCCGCCCACCCATCCATCATCCATCCATCCGCCCACCCATCCATCATCCATCCAACCGCACACCCACCCATCATCCATCCATCCGCCCACCCACCCATCATCCATCCATCCGCCCACCCATCCATCATCCATCCATCCGCCCACCCACCCATCATCCATCCAACCGCCCACCCACCCATCATCCATCCACCCACCCACCCATCATCCATCCATCCATCCACCCATCATCCATCCATCCACCCATCATCCAATCATCACCAACCCATCATCCATCCACCCATCATCCATCCATCCGCCCATCCACCCATCATCCATCCATCCGCCCACCCAGCCATCATCCATCCAACCGCCCACCCACCCACCCATCATCCATCCATCCAATCCGTCCATCATCCATCCATCCATCCATCCACCCATCATCCACCCACCCACCCACCCATCATCCATCCATCCACCCACCCACCCATCATCCATCCATCCACCCATCATCCATCCATCCATCATCCATTCATCCATCCATCCACCCACCCATCATCCATCCATCCACCCATCATCCATCCATCCATCATCCATTCATCCATCCATCCACCCACCCATCATCCATCCATCCACCCATCATCCATCCATCCATCATCCATTCATCCATCCATCCACCCACCCATCATCCATCCATCCATCATCCATCCATCCATCCACCCACCCACCCATCATCCATCCATCCATCATCCATCCACCCACCCACCCATCATCCATCCATCCCTCATCCATCCACCCATCATCCATCCATCCACCCATCATCCATCCATCCCTCATCCATCCATACATCCACCCACCCACCCATCATCCATCCATCCACCCACCCATCATCCATCCATCCACCCACCCATCATCCATCCATCCATCTACCCACCCATCATCCACCCACCCATCATCCATCCATCCGCCCACCCACCCATCCAACCGCCCACCCACCCAACATCCATCCATCCATCCATCCATCCATCTATTCACACACATATCTACTCATAATCCTCATATTCTCTTTCCACATTTTAGAATAGCAGTAAAGGGTAAAGGTGATCTAATGTGTGATCTGATCTGATGTTTACAGGCTGGTGGTTTTGTCAGTGTGAGTCCAGGAGAGGCTGGGTTCCTGCTTCATACTTAGAGCCACTGGATGGAGCTGATGAATCCGAGGAACCAGAGCCTAATTATGCAGGTCAGTGTGTATTGCCATATTGCCACTGATATAAGTGATTAATTGTGCTGTTTGAATTAAGCTGATGATATTTACTCACATCAGGAGAGCTCTATAAAACCATTAAAGCCTATAAAGCTGGCGAAGAGGATGAGCTGACTCTCCAGGCGGGAGAGATGATTGAGGTCATCCATAAACTTCTAGATGGGTGGTGGGTGGTCAGGTATGAGTCAGCTAACTTTAACTTCATGGTGTGTCGTAACAAACCAAATGCTTGGAGCCATTCGATGATTCATAATTGAATCGCATTGCCAAATGTCTGAAAAAATGTCTCACACAGGAAAGGAGACGAGACAGGCTTCTTCCCATCCATGTTCCTGTGCAGGACGGGAGAGAAGAAAGAGGTGGATGCTGAGAAGGATGTGGTCATGAGAGCAACACCACCACCAAGAAGGTATACAGCAAAAATAAAACACCACATAACAATAACTGAACACTTTGGCTGATCATACTTCACAAAATATCCAAATATGTAATCATTTTTTCATTTGGGCCAACAGATCTACCATACGCAATCCCCAGAGCATCCATCCTACTGGACGCAAGCGTATCAGCCAGGACTCCTATCGGAGACAGAGCCGACGGTTCTTACAGCAGCGAGGAAGACTAAACTCCCATTCCAGGATTGTGACACGATCTCCACTGCAGGAGAGGAAGACAGACAGAGGTGTGTGTTCTCCATAAAGAAATATGTCTTGTGCCTTACAGTGGGACATTGCAGACAGACTTAAATAAACAAATAAATAAATAAAAAAAACACACACGCATATATATATAAATGTAATATATATACACACATATTATATGAACACAAACTTTTATTTTAGGTTTTATAAAAATTAATTGATTTGACAGCACTGACGTATATATTGCATGTAAAAATTAAAAATAAAATTTTTAATTAATTAAAAATGATTTATTTATAATGAAATAATAGTAATATTAGTACAATATGTGATGTATAAATAAATCGATCTTGAAATAGTTATATTAAATGGGACCATTGCAAATACATAACGTCTTTTTTTTGTAATGTCAATGTTGTATAATGATCGCAGCATTTACATTAATTATATATATTTTAATATTTAATACACATTTGTTGTTTTACTTAATGATACTTTACAATACATTTTCACCTGTTAACATCAGTTACCAATATATATTTTTTACATGATTAGTTGAATAAAAATGGTCATGCTCATAGCACATTAACTCATGTTAACTGATACAACGGTTGATCTTAAAAATGTATTAGTTAACATGAATTAGAATTAAAGGAGTAGTTCACTTTAAAAAAAAAAAACTTTTGCTGATAATTTAGTCACTCCCATGTCATCCAAAATATCCATGTCTTTCTTTCTTCAGTCGAAAAGAAATTAAGGTTTTTGATGAAAACATTCCAGGATTTTTCTCCATTTAATGGACTTCAATGGGAACCAAACGGTTCAAGGTCCAAAAGACAGTTTCAGTGCAGCCTCAAAGGGCTTTAAACGATTCCAGATGATGAATAAGGGTCTTATAGTGAAAAAATCGGTCATTTCAAAAATAAATAAAAATTTTAAGTTTTTAATAAGCACAAATGCTCGCCTTGCTCTGTTCTGTGATGAGCGTTTGTGACTCTCCTGTTCGAACTTGTTGATCAAAATGAACAAATCTTTTTTCGAGTCATTTCGTACATTGAATGAACCAAATCACTCAAAAAAGATTCGTTCATTTTCGCTAGATTCATCGTCTGGTGTCGTTTAAAGCCCTTTGAAGCTGCACTGAAACTCTCATTTGGACCTGGAACCGTTTGGTGCCCAATGAAGTCCATTATATGCAGAAAATCCTGGAATGTTTTCATCAAAAACCTTAATTTCTTTTCGACTGAAGAAAGAAAGACATGGACATCTTGGATGACATGGAGAGTAAATTATCAGCAAATGTTTTTTAAAGTGAACTACTCCTTTAATAGATGCTGGAGAAGTATTATTCATTGTTTGTTTGTGATAACACTTCATGCTTCTTTTATGTGGCTGTAACAATAATGCATTGCCCACCGAATATGTAGCACTAGTTGACAAAAATCTCAAACCTGACAGGATGTTTTTTTTAAATGCTGTATTATGTTTGTGTTTTATGTAGAGAACATCGCAAAATCAGGCTCTCCTCAAGCAGAAGAACCGGATAAAAGTATCCCAGTCATTCCTCCTCGGCCCAGTCCTCAGCTCATCCTGGAGCGCTGCACCGAAAACACATGCAAGAGAGTCAGCATACATGAGGCCGACTGAAAAGATTCAACAGCACATGTTAACACTCGAAAATGTGCTAATAATGTTAATAGGCATTCAGATACTTGTATTTACAAATAGTCTGTTCATTCCTATAGCCCAGAACCTGGTATAAGCTATGTTTGTGTAATGACTTACTGTGTATAACCCTATTTTTAATGTTTTTATAAACAGTGATAAATAAATAAATTTGCAAAAATGCTTGGTGATATGAAGTCAAAAATAAATTCTTGGTGCTGTGTGAATGTATGGTGATATCATAGAGCTGTCATGACAGGATTGGATGATTCAGTGCTGGTTAGCAACTGATCACATGTAATCTGGATTACGATTCCAAAAATGTAATTCAATTATATGAAATTTAAAAATACTCCTAACCAGACTACAGTTATTTCTATTACATGTTATTCTCACAATAGCAGTAAATTGAACAGAAATCATTGATTCTACTTCTTTGTTATCTTTTATTTTTCTTTCTATAAAAGCCTGCTTTTATATTCAGAAGATCTTCCGAGTTTGTGATATTGCACAAACAGACCAGCCTCTAGTCATGTGCCTGATGGAGACCTGCAGCATTTTATCACGCCATTACACAAATCACTTTTAGGAAGTGTTTTCTCAACATTGCCACATAGCAACTTCTGATTTCCTTATTTACATGCAATGCAGGGATACCCCAACTTTTTTGTAAGCTATGTTTAACCTAATATATTTACTTGAAGTAAGCGCTTAGATTTTAAGTGAATAAATTAAATCAATAATAAAATAAAGTCAATAATAATAAATAATAATTCAATTCAATTAACAGTTCTCTGATGTTGGTTAATGGTCACATGACATGCAGGTAAACAAATATATATTTTACAACTTTTTAGTGAATGTTTTATTTTAAAAGGATTTAATTTAATTTAAAAAATTGTATGACTTAATTACGTAATAGCAATTTATTAAACTCACGAGCCCCCTTGCAGTTCCATTATGAACCCCAGTTTGGGAAACCCTGACTTATTGATGTGTATGTGTATGCCTAATATTTAATGCACTATCTTGTTGAAAACAAAGAATGGAATATATTTTCTTTCTCTTTATATTTCTACATTGATTTTTTTTATCAATATGGTACACGGTCATCCTAATTAAATCAATAAACGAGTCAAAATGTATCTAAAAGTAATCAAACAAGTAGTCAGCGGTTCTGCAGATGGTTAATAATGTGTTATTTCAACCATTATTACATTACTAGCTTGTATGCACGTACGTTATGCGTCACACGTCACGGTGCACGCGGTGACTGTCATGGCCGCCTCCATAGAAAACATGTCATAGCAGCAAAACACACAGAGTGGACTTAATTCACGTTATATTACCGTTTATTTTTTATTTCGCTCTATACAGATGTACAGATATGCGCATGTGTAAATCATATTATGTGACAAGAAGTATTTGAAACAACTAGAAAAATACATTATATAGAGGATTTTCCGATCTTTGAGAGGTGAGTAACTGTAACGAGTTCACCTCCAAACAAAATTAAATAGAGGTCAGAAATACTCTGGTGTGATATGCTAATAGAGTGCTGATATATATTGTAGTAGTGAAACTCATGACGTACCATGGTATTTACAAGGCACGCCATAGTACACATGGTGCCATGTCCAGAAAATCATACAATTTTGTAATGTGCTTACCATATTTATGGTATTTACATCCTGTTACAAGGTACTTAAGAGAATATGGAATTGACATGGTACATGTCCAAAAAATAAATAGAAAATAATGCCTTTAGTTAGTGTTGGAACATTCTCTTAACTTGCCTAATATTTAGTATTGGTATTAAGTATATCAGAAATTATTTTGTATTTTATGCAGGTGACTGTCATAATGGCTTCAGTCAACATGCGCTCCTGTGGCCGTCATGGTTTTGATCTGGGTCTCCGTGCGTATGCTACACGACCCATTGGCTCCCAGAGGAAGCGGGAGCAGCAAGATGACACCCCTGTGTTCCAGTATGTGGGTCAGCACAGGAAGCCCCAAGAGAAGGTGTTTGTGTGGGGCTTCAGCTTCACGGGAGCTTTAGGGATCCCGAGCTTTGTAGTGCCGGACAGTGGTAGGAAAAAGCCCAGGAAGTACCAGCTCACACCGTACCGTCTGGATACTGAACAGAAGGTTAGGTCCTACCCTAGCTTTACCAAAAATATTTGGAATGGGTTTTCTAGATTTTACACTAATGTTAATTTTTATTTATTCATGACATTTTCATTCATTGCAAATTCAAAGCCATATACATAGACAACAGCCATAAACATACATTTTCCCCATCCAGACTTAACCCTGACATAAAACATATGTAATAATATTATTATAATAATACTTAACCCTCAAAGATACAACTTAACTCCATCAAGTATGGCCACATATTGACATTTTCTTCTTTTGCACTATTAAATTAAGCCACTGATAGTTCCTTATATGCAATTTCCAAGAACTCCATATATACACTGTTTTAAAGATAAGACCTGGGCATTCTTCCATCGCTGGGAGATCATCATCTTTGCTGCTGTAAGTCCTATGAAATAGTTTCCCAAATGTTATAAACCCCGTTCACAAGAACCAAACCACAACTGGCTGCAGAGGGCGCCATTGACAGTTTGGTAAAGAAGACCTCTTAACCTGAAAAAGTTTCAGAGGTGCAATATAATTGATGAACGAAGTTAAAACGAATATTTTGATGATTTGGATTTCTGGAAGCTTACGTCAAATTATTCCATACAGTATTTTAATCAATATCAGACTGTGAAATCTCAGATCTTTACTAAAAAAAAACAAAACCCTTTTATTAAATATTTATGATGTTTTGAAATAAGTCTCGTTGGCTCACCAAAGATGCATAAATTATCTAATAAAAAAAAGTTTTTTTTTTTTTTTTTAATTATTACTTATTTTTTTTAAAGTCCCCTTGTAGTCAATAACTGAAACTCATCTTTGATAACCAAAATTACATATTTTAAAATGTTTTCCTCCTTCATGCCTTAAAATAAACTGAATGTAACTCTACACCCTTGCCTCATTTAGTTTACATGGTTCTATGAATATGCAAACTAGCCCTGCCTCCACTCACTCACACCTCTCATGTGATTGGTTACGACGTAGTTTGTGGCGTCAGAAAAGATTTCAAACCGCGTTTTTGAGACTGTCTTTTGTTCACTGCAGTTTAAAAGCGATACTATGAATTTTTTTTATGAATTTGCTCATGGTTTCTTTTAAAGCATATTAAAAACACCACATAGACATATAAACAATATTAAAAGCTTGATTTTCCCCACAGGGGAATTTTAATAATTGGTTTCTTTTTCTGGATTCTTTGACGAATAGAAAGTTTAAAAGAGCACCATCTTTTGAAATAGAAAAATATTTTGTAACATTACAAATCTCTTTACTGTGACTTTTGATCCATTTAATGCATCTTTGCTGAATAAAAGTATTAATTTCTTTAAAAAACTTTAAATTGCAAAAATTTAAATGGTAGTGTATGTTGTGTGTGTGTGTGTGTGTGTGTTTTTGGTAGATTTCCTCAGCAGCCTGTGGATACGGCTTCACCTTACTGGGCTGTAATACCAGAGATCTGACCAAACTGTGGGGCATGGGCCTTAACAAAGATTCCCAGCTGGGCTTTCAACGTACTCAACATGACCGAAGTAAGAAACCCCACAATCCCCATTGCATTCCTGTGAGTAACTCATATGCTCTTGGTAAAAACTACCATTTACCAAACTACAAACTTTTTTGTTGACAAGCTAGTTCCAGTTATACCAGAAGGATCAGAATGCACTCTATATCACTGGGTTCTGGCCACTGTACTTTTTTTTTAGGGAAGTAGGTTTGTTACGTTAAAAAGTGTTTTTTGAGTTCTGGTCTGAAGTTTGAGGGTAATGAAAGTGTTCGTCAGCACTTCCTGGGAAGATTCATGCTCTGGCTGATGTTGAGGATCCATTCTGTTCTTATTTAAAGGAGTAGTTCACTTTAAAAAACACTTCCATCATCCAAGATGTCCATGTCTTTCTTTCTTCAGTCGAAAAGAAATTAAGGTTTTTGATGAAAACATTCCAGGATTTTTCTCCATTTAATGCACTTCACTGGGTACCAAACGGTTCAAGGTCCAAAAGACAGTTTCAGTGCATAGGGCTTTAAACGATTCCAGACGATGAATAAGGGTCTTATTCGCTTATTTAACTCAAAAAAAAAATATTTTGTTCATTTGGTCCCACTTTATATTAAGTGGCTTTAAATACTATGTACTTACATTGAAGTTACTACTTTGATACATTGGACTCATTGTGTACATACATGTTTTTACATTGTACTTATATTTTGAAAATACCTGCATGTAATTACAACTGTAATTAATTGATGTAATTACATTTGTAATTACACAGTTGACCCTTCCCTTACACCTTAACTCACCCTGATACCTACCCATACCACCACACCTGTCCCTAACCATACCCATATCACACCTCAATAGCAGCAAAAGTGTTTTACAATACAACCTGAACACAATAAGTACATTGTACTTATTTTCCTATGTAAGTACATAGTACTTAAGGTGCTTTTCCACTGCATAGTACGGTACGGTTCGGTTCGGTACGGCTCACTTGTGGTGCTTTTCCACTGCATGGTTCGGTACAGTACGGTTCGCTTTAAATGGTACCTGCTCTGTTGAGGTTCCAAGCGTACCGTACCGGTACTAAAATGTGACGTGAAACACTGCAGATCACTGATTGGTCAGACAGAATCGTCACTACCAGCGTCACTGGATTTGCGACACGAGACACGAGACACTTTTTTTATCAGTATTTTTGTTTTGCTGCCATCAGCCTCATTTTAAACACATTTTTCCGTCTAGCAGTTAAAAACAACCACATACCGAGAATCAGGAACACGATTGTTCCTGTGTTGTGGGTTTGAAAATGTGGCGCTTTTAAGATGATGTCATGGCAGTAGAGGCGCGCGCAAATAACGATCAGTCCCACACACTTTGAAGGGGCACTACTGCAGTGGAAACGCAAAGCGAGCCGAACTGTTCCGCGCCGAGTCGAAGCGTACTGGGCCGAACCGTACCGTACTATGCAGTGGAAAAGCGCCATTAAAGCCACTTAATATAAAGTGGGACCGTTCATTTTGATTAACGAGTTCGAACAGGA